CTTTTATGTAATGCACTTGACTGTCCAGAGACTTGGTGTTGAGTAGCCCATCTCCAGCCACCTACGTCCTTCACGTCCATGTAGGTTTGTTCTCAGTAGGTGTTTGTAAAATCAGGGCACACACCTTCCTCTTGGAAACTCAGCTCTATATTTTGTGCTCCTACAATGCTGTTCCTACCTAGTGTTGGTTTCTAACCCTTCTTCCTGCTTCTGAATGTATGTGCCCTCAAGGTGTGGCACAGAGTCATCTTCGTTCCGTCTCCTGGAACCGTCACCCTCCCGCACATCCTCTCTCGTCACTTTGTCCCTGACAGCTGCTCTTCTCTGGATCGTTACTTTGCTTCGCTTGCCTTCCCTTCAGTGTCCACTGACACCTCCACCTGTCCCCCAATACCCTCATCAACTTGTTCTTCCTTTTCTCCTTTTAAAATTAATCACATCTTCCTAGTTGCCTACACTGAAACCTTGACCCTTGTGATTTTTTTACCTAAGTGGCTCCAGTGTTGTGCTTCTGTATTTCTCTTTGTGTGCATGTATCCTGGTGTAGGTGTTCACTTAAACCTCTCCTCCGTGAACTCTCACAGCCGTACTAATGCCCCCCTCCATTGCGCCCTGTAGCATTTTTCTGTGTGACCATTTCTATTTGTCCATTCGCTCCAGTTACTTGGTAATACTGAATATAACAATATTTGAACATGTCTCATCTCCTTAACTAGATTGTTAGGGTCTTGAGGGAACACTTGTGTCTCAATTGGTTGTTTTGTTTTTGGGTTTTTTTTTAGCAAGGGTACGACCTCCTGCTTTATGAAGCCCAGAATCTTACTGCCTGGACTGGGATAGAAGCCCTGTCGGTGCCATTTGCTTTTGATCTCAGCCAGCCAGGCTGTGGCCTCTCCCTCGGTTACCCCATAGCAGCTCCTAGGCTGTCGTTTCATTTGTGTCCCTAACCCTTGTGAAAATGAGGATGGTGTCTCCCACTTTCTCTCTGGGATAAAGTAGTTCCCAGATTTTAAAACAATATTGACCACAAAGGGAGACACGCTGTTGGTCATGGGAAGTTATCAAATGGATCCGTCATAGTAAAAATAGTAAACCAATTATTAGAAATAACATTTATTGGGTACATAGTAAGGGCTTTAAATATAGCTTTTCATTTACTCTTAATAGTCCTAAGGCCAGTGCCAAGTGATTAAGCATTATCCTTTCATCCTTTTATACTTTTAAAAACCTTTAATATCCATATTGCAGTGGCTTTAAGATGTAAAAAAAAGTACTCTGTCCAACCTCATAATTTTTTGCCTTTTGCACATTCCCAAACCCTCAGTTGCCACCACTTAACAAATGAAGGAATCACAGGGTACTTAGGCCTGGTGCCTGATGTAGCCAGGAGCTAACGTCCAGTTACTGGGCAGAGCTGCAATTAGCCTCAGCTTACCCGGCAGTTGAGGGTCGATGGTGCCTGCGGGTTCCTTGACATGGTGCTAGGCACTCACTATACAAAACATCTCCCCTGAACTTATGGAGATTTCCACCAGGACAGGCCAACTCTAGCAGGTGGGAGGATTGCCACCATAGCATCCCACAGGTCCACTGCCATTCCTTGGTCCTTTACCTACCGTCAGTGACACGTCTTTCCTTTCCCTTCTCACCCACACAGCACTCACAGGAACAAATGGAAATCCAAGCAAGTATGACCTGGCCAACCATCTCTGTTTTGTGTTGCTATAACAAAATACTTGAGACTGCGTAAGGTATAAAGGAGAGGCTTATTTAGCTCAGAGTTCTGGAGGCAGGAAAGTTCAAGGTTAGGCAGCTGCACTTGGCTAATAATGTCACAGGGTGGGAAAGTGTGCAGCCATAGTGAGTGACTGTAGACAAGTCAAAACTTAAGGGGTGACCTTGCTTTAGGGATGACAGCCTGCTGCAATGGTAACTAAGCCAGGCTCTCCAGACCCAACTCACTCCAGTGAGACCTAAGCTAGTCTCTTAAGAAAGACATTAATCCACTCACGAGCATGGTACCCCCTGCGACCCAGTCACCTCTTGAAGGTGTCACCTCCTAATACTGCCACGTTGAGGAATTAATCCTCAGCAGGGGTTTCAGTGGAGATAGACCACATCCAAACCACAGCACCAACCTCCTTGCTGACATTCTTGCTCCAAGAAATTTACTTAGTTGACAGGAAAACCCAGCCAACATGAAGTCCGATTTTAGAAGCTGAAAATGCATTGGCCCACTTCAGCTCAACTGCTTGGCTCTCCTTCTCACAAAGTGAATGGACTCTCCACAACCTGGTTTCTCCATTGGCTCCTCACCAGCCCTGGGATCTGGGATGATGGTAAACAAGATAGCAGTACAGGTAAAATACCAAGCATAACTTTTACTGTTTACATACTATGTGTCAAGCATGTGCTAAGACTGCCACATGCATTTTGAGCTCAGTGGTTCTCAGTGGGTTCCTCAAACCAGAGCCTCAGAATCCCTAAGCTCATGATGTAAACATACGTACTCAGTTCCTACCTTAGACCTACCGGAAGTGAAACTAAGGGGGAGGATCTAGCAACATTTCCAAAGAACGCTGATGTGCTTTCTAGTGTGAGAACCACAACTATGGCTTCTAGAAACTCAGTTTTGTTGCCTCTGCATGGCTTCTCAGGCTCCCAGGGCTGCTCTGAAATCTCTGGCCCGGTCTCTCTGGAGAGAAAGAGGGAGAAGGAGATACTCATTCGTACTAGTTACTCAGTGTTGAGCATTTATGCTATTCAAGGGATGATTGGAAGCATCTGCTCTATATTAACTCATTTAATCCTCACAATAACTCTGTAAGACCAGTACTATCATTATCATCACCTTTCTTTAGATGAGGAACAAATTGATTGACTTGTCTGGGATCTGAGTCCAAGGCTGACTCTAGCTTCAGCATCAGTCATACGTTGGATCTCCTGGATGTCAAAGCTTTTTCTCCCTCCACCCCCAAGTTCCATTTTCCTCCTTGAGGATGATGACATCTTTCCATAGACATTTCTTGATTAGTCATCTAGGTCACTACAACAAAATACCACGGACTAGTTGGCTTACACAACATTTATTTTCTCATCATACTGGAGACTGGACATTAAGGATCAAGCTATTGCATGATCCCTCTCCTTGGCTTTCAAATGGCCACTTTCTTGCTACTACTTTCCATGGACATCCCTCTCCACATGAATGCCCAGTATATATTTGTGTGACAGATTTCCCCCTCTTCTCAAGACACGAGTCAGACCCACTCTAATGACCTCATTTTAACTCACCTGTTCCTTTAAAGGCTTTATCTCCAAATACACTCACATTCGGATGTGCCAGGAGTTAGGAATTTAACAGGTCAGTTTTGAGGGGAACACTATTCAGTGTATAACCTCCATTATCCATGCCTTTGACGGACAGTAACTTCCATGTCTCTGTACTCTTTGGGTCTCTCTTACCCCCATTCATTCAAACACCCCATGCTCTGCCTTTATTCCTGAGTCACATGGCTGCATCATTTCAGCCATGACACAAAGGTATCAACCTCTACATATGCTGCGAATGCATGCCTTTGGTTTGGCAAAAGCTGCCATGTGTACCTAGGGAATGAAGGATCTGAACAAAATCTGGTAACACAGCCTGTATTAGTCAGCTTTCCCATTTCTAGGACAAAATACTCCACACCTGTAACTTAAAGGAGGAGATGTTTATTTGGCTTATGATTTCAGAACATGGTTGGCTGGTTCCAAGGCAGAAAAACATAGTGGAAGGGGCCGGACAGAGGAAAGCTTCTAAAACCATGGCAGCCACAAAACAGAGAGAGAAGGGAAGAGCTGGAGACAAGAATATACCTGTCCAGGTGACCCACCTCTTCTAACCAGGCCCACCTCCTAAAAGCACATTTAGCTACTGGGCTCATCAATGGATAAGTCCATTGATGAGTATAGCATCCCCACAGTCCAGTCACCTTTCAGATGTAGGAGACTTTAGAGGACATTTTAAATCTAAGTCATAATCCAGCCCTTTTAGCATTCTCTGCAGCAAAGCCAGAGATTAAAGTGTTTCTTGAAGTTTTGTCTGTGGACCACTAGGGCTGCTCCAGCACATGAATGACTAAGATTGTCCAAGGGCAGATTCTTGGAGTGTATCTATGTAACTCCCTTCTCTGTCAGTCCTTCCCCCATCCTCCCTCTATCTAGTGATTCTTATGGACACACAGGTATCAAGCATCTCATCTGTGGAGACAGATGCGTTTGGGTTATGTTTCAGCTCTTCCATTTCTAGGTGTGACCTTGGAAAAGATTAGCTTCCCTTAAATGGCATCTTACGTATAAAATTGAATTAATGTCACTAGTTAATGTAATTAATCCAGCAATCTTCTAAATTGGTATAGGATTAGACTATAGAAATAACACATTCTGTCACCTGCTTATTGCAGAAATGAGGTGTTCAATCATCAAGAGCGTTGCTTCTGTCACCAATGTGTCATTTCTAGTACTGGAAAAAGACTTATTTTGCATCTTAAGACCAACACAGGCCCTGTTAATGTTGGGGCTGGTGCATGACGATGAGTCTGGACCACCCCAGACACATTCTGTAAAAAGCATCTATGTGCACAAGGAATAGCCCATTTCAAAACTGATAAGCAGGAGCCAGGGGCCATGAAAGGACAGGAATACTAGCCAAAAGAGTAGGAAGGGCCACAAAGAGAAATCTCAAAGGACTTCTGCCAGCCTGGGGCCTTTGAGACATAACAGTCAGGCTTGTTTCCTGTCCAGCTGTATACACTGTACACTGTCAGAACAGAGCCATCTGGGATGAGTGATGTCTTGATTCCCAGACTGCCCGGTTTATGTTTTCTACTCAATTACTCACATGCAAACCTCTTTGCTATAGCTGGATTTCCTGAGGACCTATAGGTAGCACTGTGGACGGGGTGCAAGTTTGAGATGACGTATTTAGAGACTTCTTGCCTTTCATTCATCCTTTGCAGAAGAGCTGAAGGCACCATTGGAGGAGTACGTCCACAAACGCTACCCTGGGCTGGTGAAGGTGGTGCGCAATCAGAAGAGAGAGGGCCTGATCCGAGCTCGCATAGAAGGCTGGAAGGTGGCCACTGGTCAGGTCACTGGCTTCTTCGATGCCCACGTGGAATTCACTGCTGGCTGGTAGGTCATGAGCTGAAGCAGGGGCACTCAGGATCTGCAGCGTGGGCAGGAGGAGCTAGAATCTGGGAGATGAGACATTTTGTCTGTTTCTTTTGGGGCCCCTGGAAGAACGAAGAAGGGTTGGTTAAAGAATAGGCTGATAGGGGCCGGGGATTTAGCTCAGTGGTTCCACTGCCTGCCTCGCAAGTGCAAGGTCCCAAGTTCGATCCCTGGTACCAAAAAAAAAAAAGAAGAAGCTGAAACCATTGTCTGGGATATAACTGGGAGGCGGGAAGATGTTTACCTGCTATGCATTCGGCCCGTCCTGATCATCACCACCATCATCATCATCATTTCCCAGTGAACACGATGTGGTAATTAGAACTCAGGATGATTCTCGGTTGAGACAAGGCAATCCTATGTCTGTTGTTCTGATTTCACAGTTTGCTTGTTCCCTTTCCTGGGAGTGATGTTGACTTGCTGTAAGCCAGTCTAGTCTAATCCCTCTCCTGTCTAACTCTGACTGGTCTCTGTGGCCCCAGTCTTGGCCACTCAGATTCATTTCCTCACTTCTGTCGGAGTGACTGTATTCCTTGGCTTTCCTGTTGCCGGACACAATGCCCAACACTCACACTTAAAGGAGGAACTTGGCTCACATTTTCAGTCTATAATCCACTGGTTCCAAGGCAGAAACATCATGGAGGAAGGACGTGGAGGAGCAGAGCTGCTTGGTTCATGGTGGCAGGAAGCAGAGTAAGGGGACAGTGTCAGAGAGGAAGGGACTAGAGGGCAGATATGGCACCCAAGGTCCCGTGTCCATGTCCCACCCATGCACATGCAGGAGTGTGCTTCACTAACCTGCTAGGCATTTGTTCCTTAATCCAATGAAGTTATCATATCAGGATTAACAGTCACAGCATTGTGTGTCCCTCTCCGAATTGAAACTCTTTCATAGTTCTTTATTACACGACGTGTCTCAGTTTACCAGATGAAATGTTATACAGTGGTGGAAGCTTGTGTGGTGGTAATAATCCCCAGTCCCAGTGACCCACAACATCATTCCTCTCCCTTCTGAGTGGCGTGTTGGCTGTGACTTGTCTGTCAGTGGCGCTGTTTGGGATCTCGTCTGTGTCCTGCCACCCAATGAAGACTCCCCTCGGAGGATCATAGAAAAGAACAATGACTGAAATCTGCAGTGGCCATTAAAGCCTCTACTCAGCTGTGACTGTCATTTCTTCTCACATCCGGGATCTGCAGTGTGGCAAAGCGATCCACACGTCCAAGTTCAATGTTGTTGTTGTTTTGTCTTGCTTTGTTTTGTTGTAGTACTGGGGTTTGTACCCAAGGCCTTTACATTGAGCTACAGTCTCAACCTTTCTTAAAAAGTATTTGAGACAAGGTCTTGCTAAGTTACTAACTTGTCCAGGCTGGGCTCAAAATTGGGATCCTCCTGCCTCAGCTTCCCAGAGTACTGGGATTATAGGTGTGTGCCACCATGCCTGGCTCCAAGCTTCATGTTAATTGGAGGTTGAGAGAGAGAGTATTCTCTTCCATGGAAGCACAAGAGGCCGCATGGTAATAGGCAGGATATTACCGGGGAGGGAGCAGAGAAGTTGGAAGAGTCAAAAGAGTGAGACCAACTTGTCAGCTATAGAAGCATTATGTGAACCAAGGACTCTGTGCCCACTCTCAGTAACTCACACTCAGGACCTCACCTGGAAGCTTCCATCTGTGGTACCCGACCAGCCTGGGGGAAGCATGGCCCATTGGAAGAGGCAGTGGAGCTTAGGGCTTGGGCCTGAAACCAGACCATGTCTGTTAGCAACCTGACTCTGCCCCCAGCTGGCCATGTGGCCTGGGGCAAGTCCCTTAACCTCCAGGAGCCTCAGTTTCCTCATTGGGGTTGCTTTACCAGCACAGATAAGACATTTAGAGTGGTACATAGCTCTGTGTAATGCTTGATAAATAGTAGCTCAAAGATTAGCAGGGGCAGCTGGCAGAGACATTGTGACTTCAGAGAAGTGGAGGAAATGGCCTAAGAATGTAGAGGAAGGAAAAGACCTTCCTATTGAGGGAAATCAGGGAAGGCTTCTAGGGAGAGGTGACATTTGGTCTAAGCCGCCATGGTAGCTGGGCTTTCTGCTGGCAGCAAAGGGCATTCCTGAAGGAGAGAGAGTGGTGTGAGTGAAGGGTTGGAAGGGGAGGAGCTCTAGGAGCCCTGGAGGGGTGGTTCCACTTGGCTTCAGCCTGTGTGGGGTGCGCAGAAGTATTGAAGGCAGTAAATGGCCCAGAGTATATTTTATTACTCGTTTTAAATAGAAAGATGAGGTGAGCCAACAGGTAATTCAATAGCTGCAAATGAAAAGAGATCAGTTGTAGACTGAGTGTTCTCATTATTCTTCCAGATAATGCAGAGGAATGGGATTTTTCACTTGATTCTTTTCCAAAGCCCTCACTCTGGTCTAAGCTGGGAGATTAATGCTGTGGCTTCTGAGAGCTATTTTTTCCTTCTCAAATATGGGAAATGATCCCTTCCTGTGTGTGCCTCAGAGACACACGTTGGCGGAGGTGTCTGACCATCTGCTTCCTCCTAAACCAGCCCACTACACCTTGAACTTGGAGCCAGATCCCTGACTAAAGCCTGCTGCAGCCCTGAGGGGGAGGAGGGGAAGGCAGGATTGAGCCTGCCAGTTGCATTTAATTAGCTCCAGCTTTCCATTGCTAACCAATTCAATTGGATTCCTTTTAAGAAATCAATTAAATAATCAATTAAAACAACTGAAACAGTCACACACACAAAGAAGTTAGTAAACGCTTATTCAAACCAAGCCATCCAGGGCAGAAATGACCTATTTGGGGAAAAGGAATTGGAGCCAAGCAAAAAAAAAAAAAACAAGAGGTGGTAAACAGTGCCCTAAGGGGGATCTGATGGCACTGTATAAAACTGTAGCTTGATGCAAATCATATAGTACCAGGACACTGCTGCTACAAAAGAGATGCTTGGCACTTTCTGGGGGAGGGGACCCCATGCTGAAGCAGTTGTCCCTGTAGTGATTCCAGCATGTTCAGTGTACACACTTCAAAGCCCTCATATGTAGCCACATGCTCCAACTTGGCCAGGTCACTTGGCTTGAGGGACCTCAGTTTCCATCAGAGTTCCAGCCTGTCCAAAACCCAGCCTTTCAGCTACATTGCTTCTCTTCATTCCTGGTGGTCTCTCGGGAGAGAGATATTTATCTCACCTTTTCTGTGTTGCAGGGCTGAGCCAGTTCTATCCCGCATCCAGGAGAACCGGAAGCGAGTGATCCTTCCCTCCATTGACAACATCAAGCAGGACAATTTTGAGGTGCAACGCTACGAGAACTCAGCCCATGGGTACAGCTGGGAGCTGTGGTGCATGTACATCAGCCCCCCAAAAGACTGGTGGGATGCTGGAGACCCTTCTCTCCCCATCAGGTATGTGGCCAGTGAGCTCTGGTGGCCAGCGGCTGTCCAGTTCAAAGGGAAACGAGGAGCCATGGAGGAGGCCAGGCGGTTCTGCCGTAGGCTGGCACAGTAATGTGCACGTGGCACCCCAGGAACACTGGGCAGCCTGAGATCATAATTCTCTTGCTGAGCGAGGACATTACATGGCATTTCATTTCTCTAGCTAGTTTTCAAGTACAGCTTTTGCAGTGTCTTGGTCACTTTCTTGTCACAGAGACAACGGTACCCAACACCCACAACTGAAAGGAAGAGAGATTTATGTTGGCTCAGTTTCAGTCCATGGTCAGCTGTCTTCAAGGCAGAGGGTGGAGAAAGGGTCTGGGGGAGGCGAGCCACTAACGTCATAGTGGTCAGCAAGCAGAGAGAGAAGGGGGAGCTGGGGGCGTCACATCTCAATGACCTACCTCTCCCAGCAGAACCCCACCTCCTGCGGGTGAGTCAGCTACAGTACCTCCGTGACCCAGTCACCTCCCATGAGCCACCTCTTGAGCACCTAAGGCTTTGGGGGGAATCCCAGATTGAAACCACAACCCACAGCCGTACTGAAAGTTTTACATTGGTAGCAATACTCATGCTTTTTTATTCCTCGTCAGCTATTCCTTCCTAGGGATACAGCCATCCTCCTTATACACGGCTTCACTTTCTGTGGTTTCAGTTACCCTGAGGCACCCATGATTCAAAAATATTAATTAGTGTATTCTAGAAAAAGATAATTCACAAGTTTTAAATAACTGAGTATGCTATATTTTATGATTACTGTATTTTATTATTAGTTAGTGTTATTCTCCTACTACGCCTAATCTGTACATGACACTTGTTTATTGTTAATACACTGAACTTTATCTTGTGTATATACAGGAAACACTGTAATATATATAAGATTAGGTACTCTCAAGGGTTTCAGGCATCCACTGGGGTCTTTGACCCTGTACCCCTCAGATTAAGAGGGGCTGGTATTTGGCCTTGGAACCTTGGATAACTTTAGTGTTTCCTGTCCCCAGGAAGCTGGGCCCTGATGCAGTGAGGAACAAGCCCTCACTCCATGGTCCTTGGCTCTTTGTGCTCTTGGTGAAAGAACTCAGTCAGGACACATATAGTAGCGTTTATTGTGAAGTAGATATTTGGATAGTTACACTTTCAGTGAGAAGCCAAGTAGTGTCACAAAGACACCTGCACTGAGTGCAAGTTTGGATGCCTTTTATGCACACAAAAGCTACTCCTAGGCTTCAGGAAACTATGGTGATTATGATGCTTATCAGTATTTCTCTTAGAGGTTTCTTTTGACTGTAGCTATCTCAAAAATATCTTCCTTGTTCCTTTCAAGTGGCCATTGTTCCCCCAGGGGCCTTAATCGTGCAAGAATCTAAATCAGATCTCAGCCCAACCAGAGAGGGTAATTTAAGAATGCTCCCCTTTATGATATTTTGAGTGTAGTCCATGGCACCCAGGAACTCGGTGTGCCTTGTTGTTCCTGCACAAACTGAAAGCTGAAAAGTTGCATGGGAATAAAACCACTGTGGATGAACTTGCACACCAGGGAAAGTCATTGATTCCTTCCTCTGCTGAAGCCCACTTGTAACTCTGTTCCCACCTGCATCATTCGGGAAATGCTGTGGGGCCATCTTGGCCATCTGCAATCATAATGTAGGCTCATCACTAAGGTATTATGTGAGAGCCAAAGTATAACTTACAAGGGTATTTAAGCTTTAATGGTGAGTACGAGAAGATCCATTGACCTTCAGATCTTACAGGGATGAAGAAATTCAAATGGTGGACTTAAAGACATTGTTTACTATTTTGGCCAAATGATACTTTCTCCCAAGTGTCCTCCCAGATGCCCAGGAGGAGGCTGGGCTCCAGCCCTGACAGATAGGGGAATGAAAGTGTTAGCAGCGGAGAGAAAGGAGTGGTTTGGGATGTGGGACCAACATCCATAATGGCTGTCCTGAGTATGAAAAGGGCTGAGTGAAACAGGGACTTCTGTTTCATGAGTTGCAGGACCATTAACAGATGATTAATACACACTTTGAGAAGACTTGAAAAAATAGTTGTGATCATGATAATATTACATGCATTTCTAATGTACAAAACAATCAAATATCAATGATCTCCTTTTAATGTATCTTAACTTACCAAATGCCTAATTTGTTAATAGTTGATGGGGATATTTATTTATAGGAAAGAAATATTAGGGTCCTTTTGATATTATTAAGCAGATACATTGTGGTTTCTTAATCATTCAGATATGGTTTTTCCTTCTACCCATGGTGCCAAAATTTTGTTATTATTTTACTCTAATAAACGATGAGATGAAGAGAACTTTTCATAATCCAAATAGTATTATGTTAGATGAATCTTGGATGCTGTATTTCCCAGTAGTCAACATAATGTAGGACATTTTGCATTAAGGGAATTTATATTCTTTCTGTTTTAGTTCTTTCCCCGTTTCTTCATGTATATATTTTTTCTCCCGCTGGGTGAATAGCTATTTTCCAAGATTTTGTTTGTCTTCTGCCCTCATTTGTCTACAGCAGAGTTTCAGATGTAGAGTTCTTAGGTGCCTTTACAGAGGGCCAGGACCAAGTGTGAGGGTTGGATTTGGGTCTTTGAAAAAGCACACGTCACACCCAAAGGGACCAATGCCTGCCACCAGCCCTGCATGATGAATCTGGGGTCACCAACATGGTCAGGTCCTCAGAATTTTAAGAGAAGCTATAAATCTAAAACTTTGTGAAATTCCCTGATCTCCCTCTAAGTGTTGGCAAAAGAAATCCCTCTTCTCCAAAACTATGAGGACCCTGCAACATGTCTTGAGGCTGAATTTGGTCCTCCGGGACCTAGAATTTAGCACTTGCTGTGCCTTGGGAGACTGCCATTCCTGGGAGTCTCAGCTTACCCTTCTCATCCTGAGAGCCATGGGCACCTGTGGCATGTGGTATTATTATGGCTCTGGGGGATTTGGGGAAAGTGTCACTGAGAGCCATAGGAGCAGCATGGCCAGGCTTCCTGGAGCTTCAGTGACGCTGTCCCACTTGTCCCCCTGCTTTCACTGCATGTGCACAGCACCTGCCACTGAGGTTCTTCCTTGGAAGAATCTGAAGCACCAGCCCAGCTCGTGCCTCTGTTTACAGAGTATCCCAAACCTGATTCTTGAGGCTTGATTATTCTCCACAGTGACATTGTTTCAGTAACCCACAATTATGAGGCCAGTACATTTTAACCTTTTTTTCTTTAATCAAAGATCTCTGAGAATTTGATGAAAGCCATAGCTCATACTCCCCTGAGACTGTGTAAGTGGGTAGAACTTTGCATACATTTCATGAGGTTTGTAGCTGCCCTGAGTCCAATCTCCTAAGGAGCTTATATCAGCAACCACTGCTGCATACGTTGTTTGGCTCTGCTAGCTGGAGGGCCTGCCTTTAGCTTCTGCTAGTCTGTATGCTTTATGGATCCAGGGCCATGTCACAGATATGTCCCCAGTGCCTAATGAGCAGTTGGCACTTAGTTGGCATGCCAGTGGTATTTATTGAATGAATGGATGGGTGAATGGCATCTGGGGCCCAGAAGAGAGGTCGGGGCTTGTGAATAGTTAGAGAGAGAATGAGATTGCCCAGAGGTACATTAAAGAATGAGAAGGGAAACAGTGATATTTCTGCAACCAAGGAAGCCTTCATGGAGGAGACTCAGGAGGAATGAATGATCGGAGAGGTAGGAGGATGTGAGTCTAAAAGGAGAGGCAGTGGGTCGTAGAGATGCAGCAGAAAGGCTGAAAACATCCTTTGGCTTAAGCAGTTAGCTCATTGGAACCTCGGTGAGATCATTTTAAGGGAGTTTTGCCTGTGGAGCCAGATGGCTGTGGGTGGAAGAATGAATGAAGCAGGAAGAAGTGGGGGGAGCGAAAATGCAGATTCTGTGGCTGAGATCTTCGAGGGAGACTTGGAGGAGGAGCGAGGCAGAAAGTGGGTAGGATGGTGCAAGGCAAGTGACAGGTGCTTTAGGATGGGAGACCCCGAGCGTGTGCCTGTATCCAGTGAACAAGCAGAACTCACGGGGTGTAGAGTCGTGAGTCACTTAGTGACGGAGTGTGATCAGAGGTGGACATCGCCACGTGACCTCATTGTTGTGCACGCATCATCAGATTCTTACTCAAACCTGGATGCTGTTGGTCGTCACTCCATGGGGCCTCTTCGTGCAGTACAGAAAGATGTCTGAGGCTGCCGCTGGCAACACAACACTGCTTTACAGTGAACTTTAATGAGGAGTACAATAACAATTAAAGCATAGTGTTGTGAATACATAAACTAGGAACACAGTTGTTTATCATTGCGAATTATGTACTATACATAATTATATGGCTGTACTTTCTTATCCTGGTTCAGCAGGTTTATCCTCACCAGGCACTAGGAATTTCTCAGCTCTGTTACAATCTTATGAGACCACTGTCATCTATGCAATCCCTCACTGTTCTGCAGCATGTGACTGTATTTTTTAAACCCCCATGGCTTTTGTTTCCTTTGGTTCCATTTAGCTTGTTCAGTAAGATGAGTCTTTCTCTTGTCCCAGCAAATCCCAGGGTTTTTCGCACAAAAGTGGGAAAAACTCTAGAGTCATATTAAGTCCTAAACTGGGCTCCATTCCATTATTGGAGTTGTCCAGGGCTGAGGAATTGAAATTCACATCTCCTCCTGTCTCCCTGCTGTGGCCAGCCACTGGCTAACCATGCACAGTGGGAGATACGCTGTCATCCTTCTTCTTCTCTCTCTCCTTCATCTTTTTCCTGTAGAATCAGTGTCCAAACTCACTGGGGTCCAAACAGGGAGAAAAAAAAGGAAAAAGTGATTCTTGGGGTGATTGGATGGTACTTCCAGTTCCTGAGTGTGAATTCAGCAATCTGAAGCTCCAAGCTGTTTGCTGGACTCCACAGAGGTGGAGACTCTGGCCAACTGGCCTCTCCTTGTACCCTGGGCTTC